TTGGTCCCTTCATAAATCAAGCCCCGCGGCGCCCCGCTGCCCCCCCCCTCCCTAAGGTCCGGTTGGGGGGGCCGGTGCACCCCTGCCCCGGGAGCAGCCCCGCTTGCACAAACCTCGCCCGCACGGTCCCAGGTCTCCCCCGCCCCCGGCTCTTGTGAACACGGGAATGCGTGCGACCAAAGAGGAAAAATTATCTCCTGGGGGGGTCCTGCTGTCCTCTGCTGCTCTTAGCCTGTTTAACCAGGTAACCTGTTTATTGCCAACCATCCCGCGTCCTCTGAACCGCAGGGATTTGTCTTTCTCTTCCCTCCCTCCCCGCTACCTGTGTTAAACCCGTCGCCAGATTAGAGGATGTAATTATTTCCTCCCCCAGCCCGCTCCGTTTCTAACGCCACCACCCCCACCCACCCCCCGAAGGACATTAATCTCCTGGAAAGTTTGGGCTGGGTTTTTTTCGTTTTTTCCCCAGTACAGAGGAGGTATTTCCCGAGGTATGGTGGAATCAGATCCGTTTGGTTTTATTCCTGCCAGAATGGGTCCTTTCGGTGGGACAGCCGCAAAGTTCTCTTCCCTGCGAATAAACCGCCTAGAAGCCACCCCTGCTCCACCCGCCCGTGCTAACCCGAAATAATTCCTCCTTCTGCTTCTGTGCTGCTGAACTTTCGTCTCCCACATGAGCGCCTGTTACATTTCTCTTAGTAATAGTTATCAAGGTTTGTAAACGATTAATAGAAAGCTGTGCTGAGACGTCTGTTAATTTCAGAGCCAGCTTCTTAATGCAACGCAGCGGTCTCTCTGTTCCTTTGGGGACGGTGACTAGTCTCCCACAAAGTCCCTGAGACCTTCGGCGATAGGGAGAAAGTCTAGAGTGAAAAGAAATTTTAAAAAAACCCAAAACACCATCACACACCCCCAAGAAAGAAAGAAGGAAAGAAACAAAACCAACCCAAACCAACCAATTAAACAAACGAAAAACCAACGAAAAATAAAATAAAAAAAAAAACAACTCAAACCCACCCCACCAAAAAACCCACAAACAAACCTGTAAGTTTTACTCCACCTTAGCTTTCTGCTAGTTTTGGTATCAGTCCATGCTAATAATAGAAGTGGGGAAAATGGCAGACGTGTTTGGGATCCAAGCAAATCTGTCTTGCAGAAAGAGCTGTCCTAACAATCAAAGCACAAACTGTTTTAGCAGAGGGTCAGCGGTGGGAATATCAAGGAAGCAAATTTGGTTCCAAAGTATTAGACCAAGTTTTCCAGACAAGTGATTAACTCGAGGAGAACAGCTTCCCTCCCCCCCCCGCTCCCCCCCTCCCATTTTACTTTTATTTGGCCCCTTTACAATATCTGCCTCATGATCCATAATGTATAAATAGGCAAGGAAAAATTGGGGTACACATTCCCCCCAAATTCGTAGCAGCTTTATTTATTAATGTAGGTTTTACCGTGAACGCGCGCACGGTTCTGCCGTGTGCGCTGTGTTTCGTGTGTATCTGTGTTTGCACTGCACCTCTGTGGACCCGGGTATGTGTCTGTCTCTGCGTGCGTACTGCTTGATGGATACTCCCCATCGTTTATATCGATAAGAAAAGGTTTTCCCTAGTTTCCTCAGGGCTGGCGAAGTGAATGCTTGAACGCAGGCCATTTGAAATAGAAGGTGTGGAAAAGAAAAAAAAAAACAAACAAACGACAAAAGACCCAAAAGCCACAAACATAAAAAATGTCCGAGGACAGGATTTCTTTCTCACAGCCTAGAACATCCTCATGTGAAGCTTAGGAGTGGTGCAAAAAAAAAAAAAACAACCCCAAACCCACTTTTGGCTAAGAGCAGCGGGTTGTATATTCTGAACGCAAAATTAATATTTTTCCACCTGAAAACATAGAGTTTTGGGATTAATACATGCATGCAATATCCCTACAATTCATCGCCCGCACGGGGACGTTTATAATGTATCTCCCCAACTCTCTGTTTATTTAACGATCGCTGGTTTGTGCCCGTTTGAAACGAACGGAAAACCTGGTGTCT